AGCCTCATCTTCAAATTTGATAGAGGATACATCCAAACCAAATGCTTTAGCGAACCATAAAGACCTTTCTGCTTTCGTCTTTAATTCCGTCATAATCCGGTGCTGCTGTCTTTGTCCAACTTCTGTAAATGTTTTCCTCCTCTTATCTAAATCCTTTCCATGCAATTCCTCCAGCTTCGTCACCAGCTCAAGTAATTGTTTGTTACTTTGCTCAAGTTCTGCATTTCTGTTCACTTGCTCTTCCAACTCTTCTTCCGATTTGCATTTCTGATCATTAAGAGTTTTCAAACTTTCGGATAACTGCTCACATCGTTCATTTATGCACCTATTTTGCTCAGAAAGTTGTGTCGTTTGGGCATGAAGTTGCTCCATTGTTTTCCTGGTCTCGTTTAAATCCTGGCTTTGAATTAATTCACTCTTCATGACAACAATGCGCCTGAAAAGGTTTGAGCAAGATGTATACTGTCGCCCACATTTCCCAAACAACTTACTTTTTGCCATGGAAGACAAAGCTCTGGCATGCTCTTCAATCCTGACACAGTTTTCCTTTAGGGTGGTTACATGCTGTTCCGCCAAGAAACGATTGATAATATCAACTAACTTTAATTTGCCTTCGGGACCTTTCTTCGTAGTAAAGTCATACCAGCTTTTAAGGCACTTGTTTTCAACTTTTATCGTAAAAGCAATGCCTTCCTCCTCTTCGCTACCATCGTCTGCATGTTGTATTAAAAAACAGCGTTGAAATTTTGCGAAATCATACGCTTTTTCGTGATTTTTTGCCATCGTACAAGCTGAGCTACAAGCTGTGGAATTGTATTTACATACTTAATTTTCGCGCGTCCGCTAAATCGTACGAGGGTCTCCCGAGTTTCTTCCGTACATTTACGGCCACAAAGATACCGCTGCTAACAACAACTGCAGTACGGAGAGAGTGTATGTTCCAAGGAGTATTTTGATATATAACTCGGCTACATTCAGCGATTTTTGCTCGAGAAAAAACAATTTGTATAGGAATTTCGCACGCAGCATCACAGCTCGTAATATGGGGATATTTGGCTTGCACCAAAGGCTAAGAATTCATATTTTGAACTGGATTTTGGAAACATTTGCTCAGGTTGTTTATCATTCAGATTTTTTCCTCTGGATAGAGGTAAGTTCGAAATTTATTATGACGTGAGTACAAATTCAAAATGTATGCCTTGGTTTGAACAATCCTGCATCATAATCTGCGTTTTATGGCATTTCACAGCAATTTGTAGGGTATTTATACACGGAATAGCTGTCAAAATCAGTTCTCCGAATGGAACAGCTTTGCGATGGCCTATCATTCTAATTTTTGTGTCATTCTCTTCCTTTCAATGTCAATATAACGAATCTGTGAGTACAAAATGAATAACTTTAAATTTAAGAGAGTTATTTTCGATAGTTTTCGTATTCCTAATGTAAATTTAAGTAAATTTTTATTTTGCTTCAATTGACATCCGCTGAGCATTGCGGGCTCAAATGTCTTAAATTTCTGGCCATGGTTTTGATTTTCTTTGTTGGAACACTCGAATCTTCGTCTGTTTTAAGCAAATCACAGTTTAGATCACCCAGAATATACATTTATTTATTTTCATCATCAATAGCTTTGATTAATTTTTCAAAATGATCAAAGAATTCAGATGGTGCATTGGGTGGTCGATAAACTGTTGTAACAAGAAATGGTCTGCTATGTGGCTTAATAATTTCTATACAAACAGCCTCTAGTTCAGAGGAAATTAGATCTTGTCTTATAATGTAGTTGATAGAGCTACGCAAGTAGATACAAACTCCACCCCCATTTCTTGACAAGTCTTTTCTAATAATATCATAATCGTTTAGGTGAATCATACCATTAGTTATACTTGAGTCAAGACGAGTCTCATTGAAAGCAATAAGATCAATGAATTTGTTTGACATTGAATACCTTATTTCATCAATTTTTTTGGGCAGACTAACAATGTTAAGAAAAGCCATTTTAAAACCTCTTTCATTTGGTAAGGAATTTAGGCTAGTGAAAAAGTCGCTACTCGCATTGTGTGAGGAACTATGACTACTTAATGATTCAATGCTTGATTGCCATACTGTAGATACATTGTCCATTCTCTGTTCCGATGTCCATAGGCTTGGCGAAAAAACTGCTTATCATTACCTACTGGTTTTTGTATATTACCAGTAGGTCTTACCCTAGTTGATTTTAAATATGTGCAATAAGCACTACCTAGCACTCTATCACCGAGTTGGTTCAAGTGCAAGTTAGAGCGATTTAGGAATGACCTATCTATATGGTCATTATTTAAAAATGTAATATTACGATTTGAGCATAAATTGTTAACTAAGTTGTTAAAATGTGTTATATTGCTAGCTGGGACTCGGTTATCATTTATCACACTTGAGACTGCAATCTTCTTGGCATGGTCTTTCAGGTTTTCGATAAGCTCGTCCATTTTGGCAGCCACTTTTTGGGGATCTTCGGAAACGAGGTTATTTGTTCCCACATGAAGGATAACTGTGTCGTACTGCTCACTTTCTGACCAATATTCTTTTATCTTGCTGCTGATTTGTTCCACTCTTGCACCACTGTAAGAGTGGACGACTGACTGGCAACCTGCAGCCTGTTCAATTTTCTGTCGATCAATGTGCTTGACCATTGAGTCGCCGATCACCAAGACTTTGTTAATTTTTTCCTTCTTCTGCATTTCATCTCCAGTCTTCTTCTTTCCCTTCTGCTTATGTGTTTGGGTCTTCTTTTGATTTTCGAACTTTGATCGTTCCTTTGTCCTATAGTTATTGATCTGGCTGTTGATGTTTTCGCTCTTCTGCTCGGTTGAATCTAGCTCAGGCGATGATATATTTTCACCACTTTCATCATTTAACATATCAAACCGGTTTTGTAATATTAATTTGATTGCAGGCACTTTCGTTGTAGTTTTGGGAGGATTGGCCGTTGGTGAGCTTTGTTTTTCTGCTATTTTAGTCCATTCGTTTTGTTTTATGCCCAGAATATTTTTTATACTTTGGTTGTCATTGACAAGATCAGTTACTGTTGCTTTTAGAGATTCAATCCGCTGCCATTTTGTAGTTTTCCTTGTGCAACGATTTTGTCTTTCCGTCTGATCCTACCGCTTGTGTAATGGCATTTTCATGATCTTTCTCTTGATTGGATTTAATTTCAGTTATTATCATCATTATTTTTGATAGTTCTTCTTTGTAGTTCTTACATTCTTCGCATGTTGAATGTCTCGAGTTGATTATGGCTTCGTCTTGCGTAGTGTCATCAACCGGCACGTGTTTGCTCAAATTTCGTTCGATCGTCTCGTTATCAACAGTGGCGTAGCTCTTGAGGGTGGTTAGCAGCTGATTGTACTCGTTGTCTTGTATTATCGAAAGTTTGTTTTCCATTGGCCCATGCCATTTCAAACAAAACTCGAGATTACTGAATTGAATAGTTCCGCCTCTCGGCGATGACCATCTTCCGCTGAGTTGTATATCCGCTTCCATGAACTTTTTTAAAGATTCCAGATCCCCCTTCCACAATAAATCATCTTCACGGATATATAATAAAGTAGGTTTGGTGATTTCTGAATCTGTAACATCGTTTGTGTTTTGAGAAAGGTTTTCATTTGTATCTTGAACATCCGCTGTCGCCATGTTGATAGTGAGAAATTTTGCGCGAAATATCTGGATGAATACGTTGTGAGACAACTCCAATTTTATATTAGAAGGATCACCAAGAAATTAGAAATAATTTGATATATAGTTTATCCGAAAACTTATAATTTAAAAGCGAGAAAATGTTGAAAGTCTCGAGAGCCGAAAAGAGTTATGCTGCGCAATGTAACCTGATACTCGAGAGATGTCAGAACTTGTACATGTCTTTCTCTTGAACATCTTTAAGATGATCGATCTTTCTCAAGCCGGACATTTCAAAAACATCTTTGTATTTTTCCAAGTCCACATAGTTTAAAAATACTGTGATATCTTCATATAAGCATATTTAATATTGTTAGAAATGTCATCTATTTGTTCTGCCATCTTGATTTATTGAAGTGGTACAAGAGCAGTACTTCATGTTTCATTGATAACGGTTCAGGTGTTCGCTGACCAAAAATTCCAAAGACACATGAAATGAAGTGTATTCAATGAGTAAAATGTCAACCGAAAACTGCAAAATCACTGATACAAAGAAACTGAGCTTTTCCGAGAAACGAAGCAACAACAGATCAGAAAGCACCTTATCGCCTAAAGTAAGAAAATCGCTCCAAACTTGCCATGTAAATGAGAACGTGGAGAAACTCGGACCTCTCATCTTTCAAAAAAAATGTCTTGGTAAAAGTCGAACACTGGAAGGATTATTGTACATTCTCCGACAATTGCTGGCAAAATGTGATTGGGACAAAACGTACGGCTATCTGCCATATGAGGATGCATATGGTATATATTGCGATTTTGTCCAGTGACAAGTAGAAGACAAAGAGTTTAAAGATCATCTTTTGCACAACGAGCATGGCCTTTGCGTTTATGTGTTAACTTTATTTGGCAAACGTTTCCTTATTTTACAGAATGACACTGTGGACTTGAGTAATTTTCTCTGTGAACTGGAGCACCTTGAATCTGAAGATAAAGAAAGTTTCTCAAGATTTGATTTAAATGCTGATACTCTTAAACACGTTTTGCAGTCAATGGACACCGAGTATGACAAGTCTGTTCTGAAGGCTATGATTTTTGCAATATCGTCACAGAGGAAAGTTTATGAACTTGGAATAAAACCTGAGAATGCTGTGCATTTTCTGGCAAAAGCTGTCTTTTGTTAAGATTCAGTATAGATAGATATTTATTATTATTAGTATGATTTGAGGGCGAGTTAAAATCGTTTGGTAGGTAATAATCGCATGTTAAACTATCAAAATTTTCAGACATGTAGCTCTCATAATTTGGACAGTTTGAAATTCTGTAGTTGGTATCAAAAGGGTTAAATTTGAGTTGTGTTAGTCTATCCATATCCTCATCGCTAGGAATTCGATTGAAATCACCAAGAATAAAATTCAATTCTAAATCGTCAATTGAGTAAAAGGGAAGCGCACAACTTAAACACATGTTGCAGATATCAACTTCCGTTTGTTGACATGCAAGAGGTGATTTCACGCATGAAGTGTGTGCGTGAAACCAACCCCCGCATGTAAGACAATTTATACTTTTATGATTTTTACTTATTTCAAAAAAACAAGAAAAACACTTTTTCTTACCTAATGATAGATTAGCCATATCGACTTATAGATAAGTAGTAAAATAGTAGGAGTGATATACAGAGATTGATAATAATGACACTTAACTGGAAGGTTTGAACTCAACATTGTTTATATATAATCTGTCTCGAACCAACCGAACTCGGTGACCTTGCGCTTTGGCCTTCTTCATTTCCGGGTATAAAGTCTGTCTAATTTTTTCGATCTCTTTGGGAAATTGCTCTGCAATTCCAATACGCGAACCTTTTAGTTTTCTCGCATTTTGTCTGACTTGTTCACGGTCTTGGAAATAGTTAAATTTCACAACAATCGGTCTAGGCTTTTGTTGGCTAACATGTTTCCTTCCGACACGGTGGGAACGATCGATCTTTACCTTGTTTCGTGCGTCAAAAATCTCTAGATTTTCTTCTAGGATATCATAAATCTTCTCCGTTGTGTTTTCTTTTTCGTCTTCTTTTATGTTAAAGAAAAGCAGGTTATCACACATAGATCGCGCTTTAAGGTCGACAACGCTTTCTTGTAGCCGACGGTTCATATCTTCTAACTCGCGGATTTTCCTTCTATTTTCCTCGTCAGACCGCTTCGTTTTCTCGACTTCATCTTTCAGATCGTTAACTTCGGCGTGAACGAATTCAATCGAATCTTTCATCTGTTTTACATCTTTTTCAACGCATAGAATGCGCTCCTTGATTTCGTCTAGAGTTTCCAATTTCACCATCATGGATTGCATCATTTCAAACATTTTGTCCATTTTATTCATATCTTGCTCTTTTTTATCGTTTTTTTTTGCTACATTCGTTTCTATTATCATCTTTTCTATTTTTACTCATTTTTGCTTTATCACTGGAAGAAATTTGGGTAGATTTTGGCTCTTTTTTTTTCGCTGTCTTTCAAAGCATGTTGTCTTGTCAACATGATATATGATATCATCAAAGGACAAAGGCGCTACGATCTAAACATGCAGTCATTCTCAAGACCTCTTTTAAAATTAACAGGTAAATCAATGCAAGGTTTATACCATTTCCAGATAACAACAATTTAGTGACATATAAGATTATAAATATGTGAAGCAGAGGCAGAGCAGACAGATACGTGTGAAATGAAATGCCTTTACTGTAAGTGCGCCCAAGCCCAGAGAGAATGTATACAATCGTACGTTTTTATTGCAAGATTTCCTGACTTGTTGCTATAAAAATGTTTAGCATGTATTAGTTTTATAATTTAAGAGCAAACAGAAATCAAATTTAGCAAGTATTTTGACGTCCGTACATGTTGTCAGACCTTGTGATCGAAGTGTCAAGTGCAGAAGTGGAAGCATGTAATATGATACTTTTCCCACACCCCCTTAGGCAATTAATTTTCTGTGAGCCACATGACCAGCTCCGACCAGGGTCTTTCCTTCCCCGAAGAAAGAGCCTGAGAACGAGGTTCATTGTAACATACATCCATAAAGGGATGACACTCGCACATAGGAAAGAGTCCAAGTTTATTTAAACTACTGGCAGATGCAGATTGTCATTTTGAAATATCAAATAAACAGTTCCCTGTCTATAATTGCACTGAATTCCTTGGTCCATCATATGTTACAGATGCTCTTGTTGTTAATTTTCCATTTTTCCTGTGCACAAATTAAGCTGTGATAGTTTTATACCATGATGGTTTTATACCATTTACTTCAGCAACATTCTCTGATGATTGTGAATTAAAAGCATTGCATACATATTTCAAAATGTCCTTTTCAGATGTCTGATCTGTATATTCCACATTTCTTTCCCAAATCTCTTCAAACTCTTTGTATGAAAATGATTGTGGTAGATGCTTACTACTGTTTGGCACTTTCTTTTTTCTTATTGTCTGGACAACTTTACCCTTAGGAGCTCTAACTTGAGTGTATGGTACTGATGTACTCCTTTGTCTAGGTCTGCCATTAGGCCTCTTGGGTATACTAGAGGATCTGTGCTGGTTATAATTGTTCATGATACCATTGATATTACTAGTACTCAATGAACTTGCCATTATTTATCTATAAATGAAATGTACATACAAATCAGTGTTTGACTGCAAAAGCATTTCTCCTGTAATTAGTACTGGAAACAGTGGTGGACACTAGGGGGAGGGGCCCCAATAATTTTAAAAGGACCAAATAACACAAATCACACTCTTATAACGTAATTGTCATATTAAATGACTAGAAATACATGCATGCAGTAACCCACTGAGCTATAATATTACTGGAGGAGGTGCTCCTATCTCTTGTCAGTCAAAAAAGTGTCCGCAAAAACATGGCGGATTTTCACGTTTGCTGACGCCATATGGTTCTTCCGGCTCATGGCAATTACCACTGACCAACCGCTATCCTAAGCATCCGACAAAGACCTTCGCCCGCCTGTTTTTGCACAAATATTTTGTTTTCAAGACAAAATCATGCCGTTTTTCTCCACTTGTGGATGCAAAAATTCACTGTAAAGTCTTTAAAAGGAAGAATATTTCTTCTGAAAGGTAAGATTTGTGAAAATTTTAAGTTTTTACCTTTTATTTGACTAATTCTCGATTGGCAAAGTCAGGGGCCGATATGCGTATAAAATCGAGGTATAAATATGTATTTGTCAAACACTTACATTTTATATTTACACCAATATTTCTGGAGCAGACATAAAAAACGTTGTACATGGTTATTTATACATTGTGTACATACATTTTCTTTCTAGTTTCAGGCACTGGCTTTTGTTTTTAGTGCCAGTTTATTAGTTTAAACAGCATGCTGCTCATGCAATCTGTAAGGTAGTTTGCTTTGTTTCATAAAGAGCAGTTAGCACTAGATTTATATACAGTATAAACAAGCTGTATTGTATCCTTCACAAATATTATAAACTGCTAGTCTTGCTACTTGCTAGGTTTTTTAATTATCAGCATTTACCAATTGGCTGTGTAATTTAGGCTTTTTTGTGGGGTTGTGCACTACATTTCAGTTCAGCATCGAGCTATCATCGACTTGTGCATACCCAAATTTGCATGATTTATACTTATATCATTCTTGCATTGGCATTAGCTTGAATGCTAGTATGGGTCAACCTGACAACCTCTATGCCTCATAAAAATCTCCAAACAAAAAACCTCCTTCACTCAGAAAATACCTCTGCCATGGGAGTCTTGATTTATGTTTAGCCATATTTATTTAGGTCCCTTAGAGGTTAACCCATTGAGTCACATTGCATCCTACTTTATTATTTACTCTGTCTGATGCCAGACGATTTTACTCATCAAGTAGAGAGTGCTGATGCTTAATGGGGTTAATAACTAGCCTATGTGTCTAGTTATGAGTCGCATTGCACCCTGATGTGCCCTTTACTCTGTCTAATGCCAGATTATTTTACTCTGTCTAACACCAGATAATTTTACTCATCAATTGGGGAGAGCGGTGGCGCTTAATTCAGATTTATACAAGATTAGTGGTGCACCAGAGCTAACAGTTCCAATCCAGCCACAGCTGTAACTTGCAAAGTAGGGGTGGTGGTCTGAGCTAACTGGCCAGAACCTACCGGGTGTCCCAAAAAAAAGTACTCCTGTTTGATTCATAATAACTTCTAAACAAGTAAGGCTTTTAAAGAGAAATAACTTACATCAAATAGAGGAAGGACTAACTTAGATTTTGATATATTACAGTTGTATTTCACTTAAAAATTCACGGAGATATTAATCTTTAAAATCGGGAGCATATTTCTGGATGTGTCTGAAATATGCAAAAAACGGCGTATCAAATATTAATCAAGATTTGCCCGACTGAAACATGCACTATTACCAGTAAATAAATGACACTTGACAAATGGTTAATTATGAAAGAAAGTATTATTATATCTACAAAATACAAGCAAGATTTATTCGTCCGAAATTTGCGTGTGTTCCTAGCACGAATACGTTTCCTTATTTCATGAGACCACTACATCGCGAAGGATCGTCATGGATCGTTCGTTGTTCTGAATTAGGGCATGCTGTCACAATGGAATTGTGGAGCTCTTCTAGCTTCTGCAACGTTTTGAAATCTTGTTAAGAACACCCAAACTCTTTTGCATTTTCTCAATCTTGGCAAGTTCAGAGTAAACTGAGAATTATATGAAACACAATCAAACCATATAACTCCATAAGACATAACAATTAAGCAACTCCCCAGAGACATGCAACATTTTTGGAACAAAACGTAACAAAATAGTAGCGTTGATACGGTGATGTGTTTTGCAAAAAGCAATATTATTTTCTTCAATAAAGAATAATATTCATCCTGCTCTAACCGAGAAATAATCAACTCAGTCTGTTTGAACCCATTAAAAACATAAAAAAATTAGGCTATTTAAGAAAAATTTAAGCGCCTGCCTTCCATGGTCAGTCTTTCATGTACTTTTAAGTTTGTAAAGACCTAATATTATATACTTGCATAATTTCGAACGCTCATATTTCAGGAAACAATGAGCTAAGACTTACATGTAAGATGTTTAAATATACGCCATATACCTAGACAAACCCTAACGATAATTCGCTGAAATACAAGTTAGCCTGATATGTCATTAAGCAAACAAACGCTGGAGTTAATATTTGATATGCCGATTTTCGCTAATTTTAGACACATCCCAAAATATGCTCCCGACTTTGAACATTAATATCTCCGTGAATTTTTAAGTAAAATACAACTGTAATATATCAAAATCTAAGTTAGTCCTTCCTCTATTTAATGCAAGTTATTTCTCTTTAAAAGCTTTACTTGTTTAGAAGTTATTACGAATCAAACAGGAGTACTTTTTTTTGGGACACCCGGTACAGTATGCACCCATTGCAATTAATTTTGAAATGTACATGAAACAGTTTCACACCATAGAATAAAACAATCATAAACAAAGTAACTTTATTTCTCATTTCTATTACAGGCATCAAAGTGATATGTAATTATACAAGAACTGAAGCAAAAATGTTCTTGCTGTAACAGATGTATTGTATCATGATAGTTAACATTGATGTATATGATCTTATTTGGGTGTAACAATGTGTAGTAATACAGTATCTGTAGTAGTAATATGTTATCGCTACCAAAAGAAAATTGAAAAGAGATAAACATGCCAAACAGCCAAAGTGATGTCACAGCTGATGGGACTACAAAGTGATAATTATACTAGAATAACTTGATTATACAGTTAGTTCAAACTGATTGGGTCATTCAAAAAAATATCCACACCCCTAATGGAAGAGATGGGAGGTTCAGCTTCCTCCCACTTTTGGACACCCTTAGCTAGTACTTTTACTATTATCAGCAGTTGAGTTCTGCCCACTTCAGACAGCACTTCAGACATCTGTGGAGTTAGTGTTTATCTTTTCTGGAATGACTCATTGGTGATTGGTAGTTAATAATTATTCATTGAAGAATTTAAATTAAAATAATACAATTTCAACTGCATCATTGTGGTCGTAAATAATTCTGCAATAAACAAGAATAGATCAGCCTAGTCCCAGGCGTTCTGAAGCAAGTGCGAGAAAAACGTGGATGTAGTACGAGATTGGGACCTAGGTGTGACGTCACCGCTAAAGGTGCTTCAGAACGCCTAGCAGATTTTCAGTATTTTTAATATGGCGGAAAACTTATATATACAAATAACCTTGTATAAATACGACAATGTTCATTGATCATGTTCGATGTCTCCATAACCAAATTCAAACTGTATTCAAAATGTGCTCAATTAAAAAAATATATACAAATTTACGATACCGAGTCTGAGCAATGATCATATAATCGTTGATGATATTTATATACTCGCAAGTTGTGATCAACACTAGACCATGATACTGGTATACACAACTACGCTTCTAGTTGACAGTTTTAAGTAGCTGAGGAGATTGGAAATATTTGCCTGACATGACTGTGTTGTCAAAACATTTTTAGTCGGAGACTCAGCATAATTTTCAAGCTTCTAGATATCATTTAATATGGCTTTATATTTTAGTAAACACGAGTCATATTTAGCCTGTTATTCCATTCTGACCGTATGGTAGCGAAACGTAGCCTATTTCATTGTTCTGACAGCATTAGAGCAGAACTAATGACTTAATTATAAACGCAAAGGAAATTTCCATAACATTTTCTATTTACAAATGCGGTATGCTTTGTAACCAGGCCAGGGACCACTTTTTTGAAATCAGGGACCATTTTACCGAAATCTGCTAGGCTCTCTCGCTGAAGCGTTCCGCACAGCACAGCCAGGCATAAAACTTTTAAGACTCATTTAAATATATCAAAGCAGCGAATAGAGAGAGAGCCTGGGACTAGGCTGAGAATAGATTATATAGGTTACTCTAAAAGAGAAAAAGCATGAAAAATCATATCAAGGGAAAATGAGGAATACAAAAGAAATATACTAGGTTTTCAGACGATGCTCAAACTTTGTTGGCAAGTTGAGTGACCCCTTAAAAATACATTGTTTTTTTCAGAATTATATTTGTCAAGAAACTATTAGAAGTTACAGAAACCATAATCCTATGTGTATGTACACCAAAAGCTAAAAAAATATGAACAAATATAAAGGCCCCAAGCTCTTCAGCTGAAACGCCGAGGTTTATTTGTCTTAGTTTTAGCTACAGTGGTTGCATCATCCTGCACTAACTAGAACCCCCACCCAAGAACTACAATCATAGTGATTCAAAACTCCTTAAGGTACTCCGACAGCAGAATGAGCTTCCTTGAGTACCTCTAGCTTTTGCATATAAAGTTAGTACAAAATATAAAATACTATAAATTCTCTTTGTTATTTCCTCAAAATATAGTGGTAAGTACTAGCTGGTAGCACATTATACTGTACTTTCATGTCATTATAAATCAGTACCCAGGGTCAAATTAAGATAATTTGATATTTGTAAAATGCACAGTTTCGTGCCACCTACAGAAAATTATAAATTTTCAAAATAGTATCATGAAATACAAACTGCACAGCAGGCTTATTCAAAACATCATAAAATATGCAACAAATAGAGCATGTAAACAAATAAACAATAGATCAACATACCATTTTGCTCACAATTTAAATGAAACGAAAGTTGATTACTTTGTACAACAAGGCTTTAGAGACCTTTACATACTTGTGGCTAAAATATAATACATTGTACCACAGTTAAACCCAACAATTTTTGTAGAAAATTTGCTCTAGTGTGACTCAGTGACTCAGTGTGTGAAGTTATGAACTGAGAAATATTTTACCTGTAGTTGCGGCTTCAAATATCGTCTTTGCGGATGTATTTCGAGGTTTTCTGTCTTTTGAGGACGAGAATATAATGTGTACGACTTGCACACATTTGAACCAGTGGTCAAAGGTACAAAAAATATGAAAAAATCAAAAACTACGAGAATATACTGCAAATACTTCAACAAGCAAAAATATTTTAATAAGAACCAGGGGGGGGGAGGTGAAAGTCGTAGCGGGCTCAATATTGAGCCTGGTCAGTGGTAATTACCATGAGCCGGAGGAACCATATGGCGTCATTCTGGCGTCAGCAAAGGCCGAAATCCGCCATGTTTTTGCGGACACTTTTTGATGCCGAGCACGTCCTCCAGTAATATTGTATAGCTCAGTGGCAGTAACCCCTCGCCAATATTTCCATACATTAAACATGAAGTATTCAGAAATGACCAGTACTGAACGCAGGATCGCGCTCAAGTGTTGCCATGACAAGATATTCTTAAATTTTTATTTTCATATATTTTGTACAAAACTGCAAAATAGTTGAAAGATTCGTACTTTTAACTATACAACAATAAATTTCTGAAATATATACTTGTAGGTATATTATTTTGCATTTTGTGAGCTTTGGTTTAATGTAAAATTTAACTTGAAACGCTTCGTAAAATGTCTTCTCAGGTGCGTTAATGACTGGGACAAAAAGTTATTAGTTTCCAGTGCCTTTTGTGAAAGTAGCGAATTTAGGCGTACAATTTCCGTCTTTTTTTTCGAACATGGCGTCGGAAGAGAGTGGTGTTTATTTTATATACTGTATGGTATTAAATTGAAGATTGGCAAGAAACTGTTTCTGTATTAATACTGATCGTAGTTATAGTTCGTTTAAAGGTTTGTATTCTATTTATTGGTACTGTTTTCCTAGTATAGCCTTTACGGCTTTATAGTTTTGCTTTGTTTATATTTATATATTTTACAGTCACTATAAATAACATTAATACTGCCATTGAAAGCCAGTATTAGGAAGGATTCAAGCTTGTGTTTATACTGATTCTAACAATGGCGATAGCCCAAAATAGATTTACTCGCAAATTTCTGGGAGTATTAAAAATCATAGTCTTACCTGCTGAGAGTTGCTATATATGAAAAGTGAGCCAACCAGATACATTCCTTTTATTCCCTTTTAAGACTTTTAAAATCAACTGCAATATGTACTTTCTATAATTTTTACCAAGAACCAAACACAAACAAGACTGTGGAGACAAGAACGCTTGTTATGGCCTTGTCTCCACTTATTTTAATACATTTAATTAATTGAAGAATCAATTTCATATGATACAAATATTTACATCTTACAGTATGTTTGGCATACACTGTATTCACTCATTTTAGTGCTCTTTATTATTAAAATATGTAGGACTTATCCTCAGAACGGCGAGAGCCCACTTACATTTCAATACTATTCAAACATATTTCATGTTCCATTAGATCTGGATAGCTATTCAATGTATACTGTGCACATCCATATATAGAGTAGCTTTGCCATCTAGCTGGGCCATTTGTGATATTAATTTTTGTCCAGTGCAGTCGACTATTAAAAATTGATAACTTTATATACTATATTATTATTGATTTGATAATTTTAATAGTGTTGTATTCAATTCCTTGTATTTCTTGGCCTTTGGTCGGGATATCTCACAAACTTTACCAAAATCAATTAGAAACCCCTTATTTTGAGCAACTAACACATTATTGGATTTCAAATCACAGTGAAGATATCCCCTTTGGTGCATGTGGTCCAGTGCATCGGTAATGTCATAACATATACAAAGCCATGTTTCAGTGGACATTTCTGAAGCTTGATGTTCATAATGTGGATCAAACAACAACTTGAACACTGTGATGGACTTACTATTCTCACCAATAAATTCCATTATGAGGGAGAATGGTTTCTTTTCCAGCTGGATACTGAGAAGCAGTGGGATGCATCTGTGAGAGAACTTTTGCATGAATGATGCCTCTTTGTACAACATATCAACATTGTTATCAGTGTCAATCAATTGCTTTTCAACAATATTAATACTTAGTCGCTTGAATTTCCTCAAAAAGCAATTTCCAAAAACACCATTCCCAATTGAACCAGCATCAATTTCCTCCAATTCATCTTGCCTGATAATGTTAATATTTGAATTGGACATGTTCAATTGAGTTACCTGTAAAATATTTAATTTGAAACTTATTAGTAATTAAAAGTTTTGTTCTGTAGTTCAAATTAGGCTATGTTGCCTAATCTTTGCCAGCAAAGTACAATCATGACCAAATACTTGTGCAATGCAAACACTAATATCTTGTAAGCATGTGCATGAGTCATTCCTTTGTCATACACATATTCCCCCTGCCCCCTTTCAATGTTGGTGTTGTGGTTAATAGGTCTCGTCATACCATATACATTATGACTAGATCAAAATACAGCATTGAAAGGGGCTAACCAATTTAGTTAGCAATTTTTCGTTACACCTGAGTGGGAGCAACTTTTACTGTAAAGCCTTGGGGGGAGGGGGTACTTTATTCAATACATGACCAAGAAAGGTTGCATATAGGTGGACTAGCTACTTTGAGAATGTCTAGGAAAGTATGTCCCATTTAATAAATATTGATTTCATTGATCACATTTTGTGTTAACTTTATTATAAAATGACTATTTATGGATAACAAAATAGACAGATTACAGTATCTAACTGTTAATATAAATAATGCTGTATATGATTTGAAAAACTTTGATATACCTTTTTATTGCTTTCCCTCTGGTTCACTATAGTACGTAATTTTTTGTTCTTATCCACAGTCCTCTTCCAAAGTTTATAATATTTGGATGCCACGTCTCGTTGCTGGTTGGCTTCAGCCCGGATATCACAAAGTCGTCGCACGCAAGAGCGTCGCATGCTTCAACTCCGTTTTCTTTAGTCTTTTTCTCTTCTTTCTAGCATTGCGCATCTTCCTTTTCTCCTCGATCGTATGCCGCATAGTGATATATAACAAAATATTCGGATACCTATAGGTCTTGTTCAGAAATACACGACAGAGTGATAGCTTCGCGCGCAAACTGCAAATATTTGCGCTCCATTTTCTATATCCTTGATTTTCCCTATATGGACGTGTTTTCCATATAAGGATCATGCGTTTCTATGGTTACCTTAGCAACACATGGAACTTAAAATGTATTTCAAATTTAAAGGGAGTTCGTTACAAGCCATACGAATGGAATTCGAGTTTTATATCATTGTAAAAGTGTTTGAATATATTCATGGATACATCATTCTTTGTCTGCAGTCTTCGACAAGCTAAGGATCTTGCTAGTTTGAAGGCATTTCGCCCGGCCTCTTGGCGGATAGATTTAAAAATGTTGAAACTAGCAAGATCCTTAGCCCGTCGAAGACTGCAGACTGGCAGTCGAAAGCTTGTTAATAAATAAATCTTTTTTAACCAGAGAACGTTTACACAATTAATTATGAATCCTGGTTTCGCTTCCAACATTTTTAAATCTATCCGCCAAGAGGCCGGGCGAAATGCCTTGAAACCAGCAAGATCCTTAGCCCGTCGAAGACTGCAGACTGGCAGTCGAAAGCTTGTTAATAAATAAATCTTTTTTAACCAGAGAACGTTTACACAATTAATTATGAATCCTGGTTTCGCTTCCAACATTTTTAAATCTATCCGCCAAGAGGCCGGGCGAAATGCCTTGAAACCAGCAAGATCCTTAGCCCGTCGAAGACTGCAGACTGGCAGTCGAAAGCTTGTTAATAAATAAATCTTTTTTAACCAGAGAACGTTTACAAATTAATTATGAATCCTGGTTTCGCTTCCAACATTTTTAAATCTATCCGCCAAGAGGCCGGGCGAAATGCCTTGAAACTAGCAAGATCCTTAGCCCGTCGAAGACTGCAGACTGGCAGTCGAAAGCTTGTTAATAAATAAATCTTTTTTAACCAGTGAACGTTTACACAATTAATTATGAATCCTGGTTTATACCTGAAACCAAGTTGAAACTTGTTTAAAATGTTCTTG